TGAAAATTATTATTTTAACAAAGGATATTAGGCAATGTCTGAAGAATCATACAGCGTTTTTCCTACTGCCACGGCATGCAGAGAGGCTTAAGCTGCTCGTTAGCAGTCGAGCAAGCCACTTCAAAACTCCACTTACAAAACTTCCAGTGAGAATAAATCACGTTTGCTCTCGATTGAATCCAACTCAAAGCCGTGAAAAATAAAGGAATAAGGCCTCTGAATTCTTATCAAGCAACGGTTTGTTATGATTTATTAGTGCTGACCTTTGAAGTGAGGATTTGGAACGATGCAAAATGTTTTTTTTTATTCTTCACTCATCAACTATTATACCTAGGAGAGACTATTTCCATCTTATTACTTTCGCTCTATGTGATCCTTACCTTTTGGGAAGATAAGAGAGAAAAACAACACATAGCCTGAATTCATGACGATGTAATACAATATATAAAAATCAAATGGGCATGTAGGGCTAAAAAACGTAATATAAACACAAAACCAGGACGTTTCAGGTCTTTGTATGTAATGCAATGAATGAATAGACACGTTGTTGGCCTGAAACTTCCTATAATGTGATGTTTAAGCCTTTTATACCCATTTAATTTTTATTTATTGTATTTTACTTTTTAGGACGGTAAGTTTAAAATAAAAATCTCAATGTGAAAATATTTCGGGAAAAACAATTTAGAGTGAATGATGTAAAAAACAAAAATTCAGAATAGATGACTTACTCAATTTCTGTCGGCAATAAAATATAACTAGGTCCTTAACCCAAAAAACCCCCGATTCAGAGAGAACTACTCTGCTCCGAAAGAATGCATGACGAATTACGATGAAGATCATTAGCCATTATTTTCTTTCATAACCTCCATAAAATCATGACTGTTTTTAAATTTTCGTTTGGAACGCACTTAAAGAGGCCGAAAGAGAATAATTAGAGGAGATGCTAAAAATATCGGTCCATCATAACTAAGCTGAACGACTGCAACTGCTCGCCAAACATTCGTCAAAATTCGGTTCCCCGAACCCATGACTCAATCCCATTCGGGATCCCGGTTTGAGCGATGACTGCCGTCTCAATTTGTTGCCGAAACAACCGGAGCCACGGCAGTATCGCCGCTCACCGCATTTGGGCCCTGTCCAACTCCCGATCTCCGAAATTTAAATTTTCGGGGCTTAATTGATGTTCCAAGCGTTGCTTTTGTCTCCAGATGTTTACTCAGCTCGCGCTTTCCACGGCGTTAACCCCCTCCCTCGCCCCCATTCACCCCCTCAGTCGCCCCCTTTCACCCTATCCTCCACCCAAAGGGATACGGTCGCGGTGTTTTGACGAGGAAAAGAAACGTGTCACGAGTCATTATCGTTGTTACGGATTGTTCTCCGTTCCGGAACGGCACGCAGTGGAACGAGTCTTTGAAAGAAGTCGGACATTAATTTTTTGACAAAAATTGTAAAATTTTACGTTAATCTCATCACAATTTCAACTTTAAAGGATTTCTTTCATAGAAAATTTTACGAGAAAACCGATGAAACTTCTCTGAAAACGTCAACATTTCATATTCATGATAAACGCATTTAAAGTTTTTAAATCATGTCCAGCCTCTTGCTGTCGACTCGATCCATTGTGCGGCGAAGCGAAGGTTGGTTACACGCGAAGGGCTTTCGTGTCCTCTCTCGACCTGGAGTCCTGAGCTTGACAGCTGAAGACCTCCAAAAAACCACCAAAAGATCCCGGTTAAATATACCGCGATTCCATTATCGCAGCCGCGAGATCGGGAGAGGAGGGGGTTGAGAGGGGTTCCTGAATAATACTCATCAATGCAGGGTGATTCCAAAATTCCTTGCCTGTTCCCTAGATTTTCAAGGATTTAGAGGATACCTCACTTTTCGAAGATTTTTTATTCTAGGTACTTCTTTCTCTTCGTTTTTTTATAATTTCTCATAAACATTTTTATGAGAAAAATTCAAAAAGTGAAGTCTCGTGAAACTGATAAACGCGATGTTTAGGCTGGAGAAGAAATTTCAAGATTCTGCCGCAAAATGCACTGACTTTTCAGGGTTAGGCACAATTCCGTAACTTTCTAAAAGTTTGTAATTCTGTGATAGGCCTGAACTGCCGCGCTCAGCAATAACTACGAATCTGTAAAGTTTCCTTTGAAAGCAATCGAGCCTCACTTGGACGATAAGAGAAAAGGGCACCAAATGTATAAAAACAGGAATCCCGAACTAATTTATGGAAATATCCCTGAAATTTTATAGAAAAGGCGTTTGACAGGCCGACTGGGAAAAGTCTTGCTCAGGTGAATTCACCCGACGAGTAAGATTTCTGGTCCTGAACATAAAATGCGTGAGAAGTGGACAATATTCTTCCATCCTTCATACAGCAGAAAAATTAAAATTAATTTTGAAATTTTCTGATCAATTCCCAAACATTCCTTCAAGGAACAATACACCAAAAAGGGGTGTTCAACGGTGTCTCGAGACGTATTTAACCAGATAAGCCTAACATGATTTCCCGATCAGATTTACAGGTTAGAGAATAACTTGAAAGCGGTTAAGCTGAAGATCCGTGAATCGAACAGCAACAGTCCACCATACTTTCGAATTTCCCATGTAGTTGACCTGTCGACTAAGTATAGACCCTTCTCTCCAGTGTTGCACTACTAAATATATAATCAGGTGACGTCCAGAGTCCAAAAATAAAACTTAATAAAATGCCGATCAAGAGTGAGAACAGAATAACAAGATAAAAAATTTCGAACGATATCAATATTTGTACCGCGAGCGTGAATGAAGAATAATAACTGGCAGAAGCTCAACACCTCCTCCCACCCCTGCACCGCGAGGGCCACGGGGAGCAGAGTGGGAGAGAGGAGGGAGCGAAACCCCCGTGCTCTATTCGACAGGACATGGTATGAATCAGGGTGGAATACATAATAAACACACTCGCCTCCCTCTGCTTAAACCCCCCCCCCCCCACCCCTGGCCACACCGAGGGGAAAAATTGTCAGTTCATGAGGTTATAAATCTGGTATACGCGCTGCGTGTCTGCAGCCTTGGTGAGGTGTTGAATGCATTAAGTTTTACAGATGTGACGTCACATGCATGAGGTTGCCAACGTGATAACAGAAAAATTACCTGCATTTACGCACATGGGGGAGAGACTAGTACAAAAGCAGTATGGACTCTCTGCAATACCCCAAGAAGTAGGTTATGAAACGTTTCGCATGCACAGTCATTTGGTAGGTCCTAATATTTGTCATAATGTGAATTTTATAAGAAAGTTTTTGTAGGGAAAAGAGTCATTATAAACCCCATCTTTGTCCTAATGAAAACCGGCATTCAGATTTATCTGTAACACTGATCCTTAGGTAAGTAGGAATACCTGCACTGCCATGCTAAGGAAGAACGCCGTATGAACCTTTAGGCGTTGCCAAAGATCCTTCGGTAAATTACGAATTTTCGGGAAAGTTTGTAAACATTTTTCTTCCAATTTTTCAGATAATTTTGTTCGGAATTTTAACTGAAGTTCTTGATTTCTCGGAAAAATATTCATGACTTTTCTCAAAACTGAACATTTTATCGAAGGAAATTTGGCAACTCTCGAATGTTCATGCGGCGTTCTTCCTTAGCAGTTAGCACGGCAATGAAACTGCAAACCGATTTGTCTTGGTTCAATCTCAGTTCCTTTCCGTTGAAAAGCGGTCCATTCGGTGTAAGAAAAGTTGCGAAACAGTAACGCGTGTCATGAAGCAGAACACCATAGAGTGCATAGAGTCGTAATGTAAGAGGGTGAGCTGCCGCCACTTTTAAGCATTTTCCAGGTCCCGAATTCCGAGACTCCTGTGTGACGCCGGGTCACTTTTTCGATACATAATCGATTGTTTGCGATACACAGGTACCCGGCCATCCGATGTAAACAAAGAGGATAGGGATCACTACGTATTCCGCACCGCCATTTTGGATCGAATTTGTATCGAAGAAATGACCCGAACTCGGCGCACACCGGGCTCGGAACTCGTCGAGCAGAGCATGGCGCCAGCTCTCCCATTTACATTACGACTCTATATGTACTCTATGCAGAACACAGAAACGTCTTTGGCCCGGCTCCATCATCTCTGGTTAAAAACACTGGACACTTTCGATTATGTTGAGATATTTTGGAACTAAGAGCCTAAGATCGTTTTACATCAGTTGGAATTTAACTGGAGTCCCTTTATACTGAGAGTCAAGACAACACCCCTCATGGAGTCACAAACGGGAATAAATATTACAGAAATTGAACGTTTTTCGTAATCTTTGATCGGCCCATTCTCGAATTCCTTTCTTCGTTCCTTCCCTCATTCCGTTTGTTCCTTGCCGAACCCGTAATTCCCCGGTCCATTCCAGTTTATAATCTTTGCAATCGGTGAAACTGTAATCTTTATCCCCGTTTGTGACACTGTGAATGCCCAAAATACGGGAACCAATCAGAAATGGATTCACTTTGTCTTGACTCAGTATAAAGGGACTCTAGAATTTAACAGGTACCCGTGCAATGCTTGTTGCATTAACCAGAGGACGAATCCGTAAAAGGAGATGATAGAACCAGACCTCATGCGGTCTACACCCTTGGCATGCAACCCCATCTTGCGGGGGCAAAATGGCAACGCTCCGAGCTTACCACCAGTTGCAAACGCAACAAGAGGCCAATAAATTTCACCCGGTCGTTCCGTTTCTTGACGCTCCCGTCTCCTAGCCCCTTCGCCTTCGCTCGCCCCGGCGTCGGTCCACTACCCTCCTCCTCCTCAGTTCTATTCCCTGCGAATCGGGATTCTAACACCAGACAGAAAGCCCGTCGGGGTATCCTCGATGGGCAGATCTCGGGGGACAGAAATTTTGAAGAAAAATTCCGGTCACGGCTGTGGCGGGGCCTCGCGGTGCCAATGAATTTTCGGCAGCTTGCCCATTGTTTCACTCCGTTCGGCGTGAATGAATTGATGAGCGCGCGCGGCCGTTCTTACCTAGAGCTGATTCCATCATCCTGAGTGCATCCTTCTGCTCCGACTCCGAGAATGACCTTCGCACGTCTCCAACCTGAAACACCCAAACGACAAACGTGTCAAACATAGACAAATAAAAATACGATTCAAATTTAATTTTCTTCTTTAAAAACGGCGAGGGAATATATGAGATTAACTAATATCGTAGGCGGTACAATAGCATGAAATTTTGCGATGGGTGCGAGTTTACATATCCTGCTTTACTCAGGAAGTTCTTCCGAGCAAAAATTAGTCGCCATCTAACTTTAAAATTTCCTCACTCCGCAAAACCGTTAAAATATGTTTTGAACGAGATAAATACAAAATTCAACTTATATAACTTTCTTTTTTCATATTTTGCTTGAAAGAAAGAAAATAAAAACAATTTTGAAAACCTCATTTTGAGAAACTTTTTCGTCGATTTTAGGTACGAATTTTTTCACGGCACGCGCAAACCGCGTTTTCGTGTGCGCTCGGACATCTTCCGTCCCCCGCCTGTGCGCACGATGGTCGAATGTAAAAAAAAGATGTACGATTTACGTCAGGAACAATTGAACAATACAGCTCACAGAGTCGCATATTAAAAGTTACGAACTAATCTGGAAAGGAGGAGAATGACTTATCTGACGGAACTATACTATTCACTTGATTCTTCGTAAATGTGAATGTTGCAAAAAAGATGTAGGTACGATTTACGTCGGGAACAATTGAACAATACAGCTCACAGAGTCGCGTATTAGAAGTTACGAACTAATCTGGACATGAGGAGAAATCCGGCCGCTAGCTCACAGCTGAAAGCCCTCGCTGAAAACGGCTGTCCGCAGCGGGCCGGAAATAAACACGTGAACTTATGAGGGAAGCAGCGTTTTTGTGGAAGCTACACCTGAAAAGCGGCCAGGCTAACTGTGTCGCGACGAAAGCTAAAAAGTAGAATACGGGCTCGCTACGCTTTCCGATTCCACCCTGTTTCAAAGCGAAGCGTTACGCGAGAGGCGCAGCGATTCGAGGAAACTTTTTCAGCGCTGGAGGATGAAGTTGCGGAAAAGTATCGCAGAGTTGCCGTCTTGCTGTTGGAAGCGTCTGTTACGCGTATATAAGGAAATTCGCTTCAGTGTGAAGAGCGTAAAATGTTCAAAATCGCACGCCACAGAATTTGGTGAATCGAAGACGTCCTGGAACGTCAAATCATCGAAAAACGCTGCGGGGAAAGGGGTGCTATTTGCCTCATGACGCTCGCATTAGAGATTTAATTTTTGATCGATTTCACACCCATGCAAAATTTTGGAAAACATTTTCAAACCAGAGTCTGACCTCAGGGAGAGAAAACTTTCGGTTAAAGTTCGGAAGTAGGGGCTGGTTGCGATGGCTGGCACGAAAAAGTTCTTCTAAAGTAGTGCAAAAATTTTCAAGATGAAGAATATGAGAGAATTTGTCTCCATCATTTCTTTTCATAGGAATGGGGTGGGTGAGAAAATATTGGACGCCAAAAGAGATGTCTTAAAACGCTTTGGGCAACAGCGCGGAACTGCGACCCAAATCAAAAAGCACCATGCGAAAAATGAGTTTCCAAATCAGCTCGTCCGTTGAGGTTTATTGTTGGGGGGGGGGGGGGGGGGGGGGGGTATTCGGTGTACAGCTTTACCTCAGCCATAAATGGCCCCGAAATCGCAGGCAACATCGAGTTGAAGTCCACAATAGTTGCCTAACCTCAATCTCGAGGACGCAGGAAACTTCTATTTCGGGTCAAATAACAACATGAAAGAAAGCCTCAGCGCGACATTCTGCGACTCGAAAAAAACCGCCCGGAACTCGGACGGCAAATAAAAAAAAATCCCTGGATAAGGGCTCGAAAGAAAAGAAAACAAATTAAAAAACTTTGGAGGCTTCAAACGTGGCGCTCCGATTGAAGGCTCGCATTACCGAATCGCGACGGGACGGGGAGGGAGTGGTGCGGAGTTTTTCCGAAGTTGTCGCGAACTTGATCGAACTTTTCTCCGGTTGAATCGCTCCTCGCTCGACGGGACCGACGGCGGCAGTGGCGGTGGGTGGCCTTGATTTGTCGGACCTTGACCCTTCTTCCCGCCAAGTGGCTTTGTCGGACGGGATTTTGGCTCGCGGTGCATGAGATCGCAGATGCCGCTTCAAACCTCAAATTCCTCCCTTTTCTAACTTTCCACCGCAAAGTAAGAAAAATAACCGACATTTGTGGGGGAGGGGGTGAAAATGGAGATTAGCATCAGTGGCGAGGTGTGAATGATCGACTATTGATATACCCCCATTAGAAGCTGTGGGAATTTAATCGATTATGAAGGTGTTCGTTTCCGAGCAACCTGTTTAACGATCATTTTCCATAGGTTTAAATGGCCGATTAATCGATATATCGCGAAGTAAACCACGACAATGATTGGTAATGCGTAAAATCTGATTGAACGGCCCGTGCAGGCATGGTGCCTCCGGATCCATTTTCAGGATGCGACCATTTCAACGCGTAGGACCGATTCTTGCCTACTCGCTCAGATGAAGGCGAAAAATGGTGAGTGCCGTTGAGTGATCTCCTAGCTGCCAGCCAACGGATCCACCGTTTCAAAGCGAATGGTCCTGCTGGAATTTTATCCTCGAAATCTACAGTATTTTCAAAGTTTTCACAAACATTATTTTGTATTTGTGTTATTTCGTTAAATGTTGTACCTATTCGAAGTTTAAACATTCTTTGCAGAAAGTACTATGCACATTTAATTTTCTCCAAAGGATGTTTCGAATAATTATTTTACAGGTCTCAAATCTTCAGTTTGTCACTAGGTACTTTGTGGAATGGCTATAAGATCTCCAGCGAAAAAAGTTACGAACCGCTTTTATCGTGTTAAATCTGTTGTCCTTAGCAGTTTCAATTAGTATACTATAGGATAGGTAAAATTATTTTGATTTACAGTTATGACGGCTACCAAATATTCCGTGGTAATGGCGTGAAACACGCGACTCACCACAATCGCATTGATTCATAGAATTGGCTTCCCGAAGCCAAAACTATCAACAACAAAAATTTGTAAACCGTTTAGTTTTTCGATTTTTTGTGATACCTACCATCGTATTTGATAGGGAAATATAATGTGGTTATCTAAGCAGGAAAATCAGCTTAAAGCTACTAGAATAATCGCCAGTTTTGCAAAATATTTGCAACAATCATGAAACCAACGGTTAGTGACAAAAAACGATAAGATTGATCTTACCTTTCCATTATTCCATCAGGTAAATCCCTCTTTTATTTCGTCGGCAATGACGTCATTGACACAGTTGTTCGTGGGCCCAAGCTCGCTGGCGCGAGTTCACCGGGACTTAACGAATCCCTGTGAAACGGAGGGAGAGGGAGAAGGAAGGGGAGGAAAAGATAGGTGGGCCGACTGACGATTGTCGAGGTTCGCGCGAAAGCTCAGGGGACAAGCGAGATCGACTTGGATTTAGGTTTGCTCTGCAATTTATTTTCGAGCCGGAGTTGCCGCTTAGCGTCCACGTGAGAAAAAATTAAACAGTTTGAAGAGCTAAATACACGGTTTGATAGAGCAGAACACTTGCCTATTCGAGCGTCTAAAATGACATCGTTCGAGGTTCAATTGCAAGGAGTTCGGATAAAATAATCAGGAGAGTTTACTGGCACCAGGATTAAAAATAGGTTTCAATGAAATAAACTACACTGGAAAAAAAAACCCATTGGATCTAGAGTCCAGACTCTTAAAAACATCGACAAGAAAAAAACTATTGATACGATCAGATTTAAGCTGAAATCAAGAACCAAGCCTCTTAATTTGAGCGGATTTCCTTTTGATTTAAGCTTAAATCTGATTGAATCAAGAGTCATTTTTCTTGTCAATGTTTTCAAGAGTCTGGACTCTAGATCCAATGTGTTTTTTTCCAGTGTAAGAGGGGGCTGAACTGAATTTGAAGAATTAAGTTACCTCCCTAAAGATGCTTCAGGAAGTCTGTTAGCTTGAGGACCGACAATTTTCTATTTCGGAGAGAAAAACTTCGGTTATAAGGACTTGGCTTCAGTTCATCAGAGACACTAAAAGTTTGATTCAATTTAACGTTTATTTTCATTGACAATTTTCAACATTTTGTTGTTCCACGCCGAAAAAAAAGTAATAATCAACCTTGCCAAAATTTAAAAAAAAAAAAAAAAAATGTGTCATCCTCAACTGCTTTCACAAATAGCGCTGTATCGCAATCTCCACAATTCAGCAATTCCTGCCGTCCTGCCTTCATGTGTGTTTAGATCTCGCAGCCTCACTGGAAAAAAAAAAAACACATTGGATCTAGAGTCCAGACTCTTAAAAACATCGACAACAAAAAGTATTCTTGATTCAATCGGATTTTTGATTAGATCAAGAACCAAGCCTCTTAATTTGAGCAGATTTCCTTTTGAATTAAAGCCAAAATCTGATTGAATCAAGAGTATTATTTCTTGTCAATGTTTTCAAGAGTTTGGACTCTAGATCCAATGTGTTTTTTTTTTCCAGTGCTCGATTGTGGAATCGTTGTCTAGTGATCTCGATCGATAAACTTAATGGCTCATAAAGGGCTTTGTCGATCGAGGCCATTCGATAACGATACCGCGATCAACTCGCTAGAGATTGAGCATTAGCGCATGGATGCAACTATTCGTGGTCGGATGACATGCGTGCAGCATACTTAATGAAATGAAGGCGCACTGCTCATTCATCGATCAAGGTCCTTTCGACAGAGATTCAACGATCGACCTGTACATGTCTCAACGGATTGTATTCGATACATCAAACATGTGAGATTGTATTGATACCGATTGGTTCAACATGTAAACATAGCCTCAAGAGTCAATTGAGTAATCTGAGGGAACGGGTTTCTTGCGATAGATTTTTGATACTTTTGAGTACAAAATGGCTATGAAGAGTGAAATTACTGGGTATTTTCTCATTTCCAGCTTTTCCAACTTAAATCCTAAAATTGTAATCTGAGGTAATGTTAAATGTTTTGAACCAAACGATACATCCAACCACTATTGAATAGGATCTATATCCCAACTGC